AAATCTTTAATAAAGATATATACACATAAGATAAGGGCTGTGTTATAGTTGAATCTGAAATGTCCCCACATGCTTGTTTTTATCTCTTGGTGCCAGCTTGTGGCCTTATTTTGAAACTTGTAAATGCTTTAGGAAGTAGAGACTACTGGGCAAAAGATCACCAGGAGCAGACATTTCCAAGTTTTACCTTTGGTTCCAACTTGTCTTCTCTGCTTCCTAGTCCACAGTACATTCCCTGTACTGTGTGAGCTCCACCACACTGTCCTTTCAATTCTCTAACTCTATGAGCTGTGCCATGAATCTCACCATACTTTCTTTCCTTTCAGCTCCCTGAAACAATAAGCTAATAAACTTCTCCCCTGGGGAGCTTCTGTCAGGTATTTTGTGAAAGTTAATACAAAAAAATCTCTCTCAAATGTTACATACAGAGAGTAACAGGCAGTTTTTCTAGGACATTTAAAAACCAGAATGTTAACAGATATGCAGAAAGTAGACTTCATTCGTGGCCTTGCAGAGGAGAACATGTGTCCTATTGGATATTGCCATTAACATTCTGGCAAAAACATCTACTGTAGTTTGCCTATATTCTGAAAACAATGCAGGAAAAACAGGCAATCTCGCTAAGAGAGGGGTAAGAACGCCTTTCAAGTTGTGGACAAAACAAGGACAGAAAAATACTATAATCATTAAAGAGGTCAACACCATTAAAGAGAAGCACAACAAGGTACACCATGATTGTCCTAAGTTTTACTCACTGGTAAGACTCCAAGGAACAAGTGGGAGGCATGGCCTTGTTGGAAGAGGTATGTAACTTTAATTTTTTCAAAGCCTACTTTTAATGAGGGTTTTTTAATATTTTAACCTCTCTTATAGTCCACCATCCACTGGGGGTAGTAGAAGACAAAGGATATGGGGGGAAGTGGATCTGTTTAGAAATGGTTCTTTTGAGCAACTCCCATCTGTGTTGTCTGGAAATCCGTAGTTTAGTTCACAGGTCAGTAATGCCAGCTCAATCCACTCACAAACACTTCACAGATATACCAGTAGTTTAGTTTGGCGGTCTCAGGATAGTAGTAATGGTGGCACAACTTAGCAGGAACTGCCAGGCCTCAGGCAAATCAACACAAGTTAGTAGGACAGACCAGTAGGAATGACAGGAGATGTTCTTGGCTGTGTCTCCCTTAGCAAAACTGAAGATCAGTGAAGACATGAGACCAAGAAGCATTTAGCTTTGTAAGCAAGCCAAGCTCAGCCTCAGTCACTGCCCATTGGGCCTATTTATACTCCCTCCAAACATCATGTGTCCTCCACGGTCTTGTCTCAGCACTTGAGTCTGTGTCAGCTGACATCATTCTGTTAATCAGCCTGAGTGCAAGGAAGCAGCAACAAACTGTAGCACATCACCAGAAGTTTTCTGGCGAGTTTCTCTCTTTGGAGTCCTGACAAATGGAGTTCAACTACAAAATGTGAGGCATAACGACATGTATGTTGTCAGCAAAGAATCCTTCATCCTGTGTCCTTTCACATGCTTGTTTTAGCAGAACCTCCTTTCACCTGTGTCTGCTTCAGCTAAATGTGAGTCTGCCTTAGCAAAACACCATCTAACACACCTGACTTTCCAAAGAACCCTTAAGATTCCACTTTAGAGCTGTGTCCCCGCAGACAGGCTTTGAAGTTTCAACACCCCAGACCAAGCCTGGTCTTGCTCTCTTTCTGCCTGGAACTTGCAGATCTTGGATAAGCATGCACACATACTCCCATCATGGATTCCAGGCATGATGATCACAGACTAACCTTCTAAAACTGTAAGTCCCTAATTAAATGGTTTCTTTTATAAGCTGCCACTGTGCCTCTTCACAGCAAAAGAACAGTAACTATGACACTATGGCACCCAGAAAATGCAATGACAGTTGCTGCTAAGAGCAGAGAAATCAGGTTCCTATACCCACCCAAAAACTACAACACAGAGAGCTAAAGGTCCCACTCCCTGGGGCCTGGACAAGACATGCAACCATAGCAGGTACCACCTGTCGCCACCTTGACTCAATACTTTCAATACGTTCAAATGCTGAAGGATGCACAAAAGCTGTAAAGATCGGCCAACACTTGAAATGTCACATCTCCCGGCTTCACCAGTTTTTAAATCCAGCAAACTAAGTAGTAACAAGTCCTGCTAAACTTTTTTACTTTAGAAGTTACCCCCCTATTTTGAAGGAATTCATTGCTGTAAGAATTGTGCCAAAGAAAATCCTGCTTCTCTCTAGTCCCTGGAAACAAGAGTTTGGCCAATTTTATGTGCTCACTTAGAAGATCACAAAGATGCAGAGACACAAAAAGGTTCTTTTCCTGGGGCAGAAGGGACTCAAGAGTCTATCAACAAAGGTAGCAGCTTTCTCCAGTGGTGACTTTGTCAGCAGCAAAATTCTAACCAGACTACATATGGGATGTGGCTTGTGCTAGAACTTCAAACAGCCAGTCTCTCTTCAAACACATTTCTCCAGCCTGCCCCTTTCATTCTGAAAGCTATCTACTATCTTCCAGGATATCTTCTGTTTAAATCAGTCAAAATCCATCCCTACAGTTGACACTCAAGAACTGAGTGGCACCGCACACCTTGCCCTCAGAGAATGCTGTGTCAGCACTAGACTGTACTGCCAATGCCAGTTAGTAGCTTAGTCCTCTACTACCCATCCATCAGTTTACTTAGTGCAATGGCTAGCACAGAGCAAGCAGGCCAGTGGTCTGTATAAACTCCACAGCAGGGAAGATAACTTTGTATTGAACCACCAACTTGCATTTGGAAACATCCACTGTCACTGACACTGACTTGACACTGAGTATCAAAGAACCACATGGAGCTGCACAGCTTCATTCATTCATGAATTTACATACTGGGATTTTTTTCCATCACCTAATTAGAAAACAACTTTTTTAAAGGAGAGAAAAAAAATTAGGATTCTATTTCACCAGAGTTTTCCTCCAGTAAGAAAAGCAGTCCTTTTGGGAAAACCACCCTTTGACAAAAGTACATACCTACTAACCCCTGCCACCAAACTCAAGTGTTATTTTCTGCAAGGTTTCACCACTCCGACAGGCAAGTAGGTATAATTTCCTCTGTACTTCCAGATCTCTGATCTAGCACATTTTTTAAAATAGGTGCCTCCTAAATCAGATCTCAAAATCACCTTTTCCAGCACCTAGAATGATGGCTGGCACAAGCAGGAAGTGCTGATTTTTGAGTGGAGACACTGGTTTAGTACCAAATTCACTCTTTGTGCCACCCTGCAACTTTTCTACAAATCAAAAAAAAAAAAGTTTAAAAAATGTTTCCTCTGCCAGGCAGTGGTGGTGCATGCCTTTAATCCCAGCACTTGGGAGGCAGAGGCAGGTGGATTTCTGAGTTCGAGACCAGCCTTGTCTACAGAGTGAGTTCCAGGACAGCCAGGGCTACAGAGAGAGACCCTGTCTCAAATAAATAAATAAATAAATAAATAAATAATGTTTCCTCGATAAGAATAATTTTAATGGAACCAGTGTTGTAAACAATTATTATGTCTGCTATACAAGAGAGTTTGTACAGTTTGGCAGTACAATCTAGTGTTGACACAGTATTCTCTGAGGGCAAGGTGGTACAGTGAACTCAGTTCTTGGGTGTCAACTGTAGTGATAAGTTTTGACTGACTTAAAGTCCTACTTGTAACAAGACTTAAAAGGAAACATTTGAATGTGGACATTAGTTTCGTCCAGGTTATTAAACAGATGTTTGTACATTGAGAGTAACTGCTACTAAACAAGGCTGCCTTGCTTTATGAACTATGCAGAGTATGTCCAACTAACAGGAGATCTTCAAATATTTTTCAAGCAGTATGTTTCCAAATGGACTGTCGTCCCACTAATAAGGCACACACTGTGACCAGCCCTGTAAAGTATAGGCTAAAAAGTTCTCACTCAAGTCATGTAGCATTAAATATGACCGCCCGTAAGAAATTCCGTGTGTGTGTGTGTGTCGATGTGCTCACAGATTCTAGCTCCACCAAGGGGTCCTATTCCAGAACTCCTCATATAAACGGGCCACTCAAAACCCAACACAACCAACAGGGGTCAGCAACTACTGTTCCCAACGCCCAGCAGACTGATCAGACAGAGGGAAGCACCGCCACCCGGTGCTCCTGAGGACCCGGAGGTGTGTGGGAAGGGGCAGACTGCCCACTGCCGGCGCAGCGGCCAGTGACCCGACAGTCACGTAGAGCAGGAAGCTCCCTTTCCGTCATGGGCTCCCTGTCACCAGCATGGCGTAACGGAAGAAGCGCGAGTGGCAGCGGCTTAGGCAGGGAAGCCGAGCGCACTGAAGCGGGCGGCCCGCAGCCTCCGAGGGAAGCCTGTCCCTCTGAGCGGACGCGGGGTAGCGCTACGGCTGCGGAAGCAAACGTGCTCCCTGAGACGAAGAGGAGAACGGCCAGATCTCGAAGCCCAAGGCCGCGCAGAGACTCTGAGCAAGGCTGTCAACGCGCCAGCCAAGGGCAAATCCGTGCCCGAGGGGCCGGAGAGGGCGCGAGGCCGCCGCGGCGCCG